ATCAGTCTCAGTCCATGACTCCATTCTTCGGCAACTACGGTGCAAGGCCGATACTGTAGAAACTTGCAATTTGTACCCCTGACCTGACCTTGACCTTGACCTCAAACTTTAAATTAAGTACATGTTTTTAGTAGTTCGTGATGAGAGCTTTCGATTGGCGTTTGAATTTTCCAAATCGGACCATTAGTTCGGGAGATAACAGGGGGGGTAAAATTTACCCCCCCCCCCCAGCCCCGCGCGTTCGGCTGGAGACCCCAGCCCCGCGCGGGTTAAGTCCCAAAATTTAATTTTCTTGAAATTTTCCATTATCCTCTAAAAAGAAAATATAGCAACAACGTTCTTTCTTTATTTGAAATGCGCCACTCCTGGGTTAGGTGTCACAATGTGCTTTTAAATACCGAATTTCCCAATTGGGCGGTGTTACCCAAGATTACTTTACTACGGTGTTACCCAAGTGTCTGCATTTTTCTTTAAAAAAAATCCTTCAATATGGCAGCACGACAAAAATTTCGCTCGAGCAGCAGCACGTAATGCTTGGATGAGTCCCAATCATGGCATAAATACTACTTCAGGACTAATATCTGTCAAATAAGATCAGTTTTCTTCTGCTTATTATGCTAGAAAAAGTATAAAACGCATTCACGAAACGTAAAATTAGGAATTTCTCGCAAATCACCTAAGCCAATGCGGTGCACTGCCCATACCTGCACAGTGGCGGATCCAGGGGGGGGGGCAAAATGGGCATTTGCCCCCCCCCCCCCAAAGGGCATAATTTTAACATTACGCCTATGGACGATGCATGGAAAGAATCGATAAATTGTTATGGTTTGCCCCCCAAAACTCTGAGCTGGATCCGCCTCTGTACCTGCACTTGTGTTGTCGTCACGCTGCCAAAAGACAGTCAGCTATCGCTCTAGACCTTTTTATATTTCTGATATCAAGGTGGGCGGTGTTCCCCAAAGGGCGGTGTTCCCCCATCTTCCCCTAAATAAAATATTTTCTTTTGCGCTTAGCATTAAGATCCGTATACATAGGTACAGATCACGTTGCATGCATGCATGTGCATTTACACTGCTCATGCATCTCCTGAACGTAAGATGCTCATTCATTCATCTTACGACCGTCAATTTTGAAGGTTTTCCCGCCCCGCTTCCTTAGACCCGGCTTATTACTATAGAGCCTAGCGGCTTATATTCCGGAGCAGTGGCGGGGCTTTTTGGAAGGGAACCCGACGTGGGTGGGGGGCCCAATCGCCAAATCTTGCATACAGCATAATGCACAAAATTTGAATCCGCGGTTCCTGCGTCTAGGCTATTACAGAGGTCAATGGGGCAGCCCATGTGGGGCCCACATGCAGCCTACATATCTGCCCATCTCTAGCCCATGGCCCACCATGCCCATCAACTGCCCATGTGGGGCCCAGAGGCATGGGCATGTTGGCTAGGAAATCAATCATTTTTACAGTAAGAAATTCTTAGCCAGACGCTGAAGTTGCCAAAACCTGCGCGAGATATTTGATAATGCACTTCTTGTTCTGAGAAGTCTTTTGCAGGAAGTGCCATATGGGCAATCATATGACAGCCGTCTCACATGCAGCCACCCATTCTGCTACCTAGCTTTTTTCAAAAGGTGTTTGGCTCCAAGTGCAATATCTTTCAATATCAATATCCAAGTGCAAGTGTAAAAACTCATACAAAGATAAGTGTAAAAACTTATCTTTGCCTAGGGTGATCGTTAGGCTGTAAAAACTCCCATTTGTGCTAGTTTCAACTGAAGCTCAGTTGGGCAAACTAGACTTCTGGAATCAAAATGTGGAGACTGGAGGCATCAATAATTTGATTCTGGTGGGAGGAGCCATGACCAAATATGGGTATGGAATCAATTTTTTGATTCATTTGGGTACACTCTTGACTTCAAATGTATCCTTACGGTTGAACAAGGCCCATGACAGTGAGTTTTTTTTTATTTAAATTTGTAGAACAAAGTGGTAGGTAGTAGGTACCTATGCAAAGTGTGACCTCAAAACTCAGAAATTGTCACTTTGGCCTTGAGAATGGGAAAAAGACGGAGCCACTGTCCATCACGTAAGAGCTGTTTTGGGAAAATCCAGAGCCTTTTTTAAGGGAATTTGACTGGGGGGGGCAACCTGAAAAATTGTCTTTAATAATCCATTAACCCTCGCCCGTATTGGTGTTTCCAGCTGCGAACGAATATTAGGGGGGGGGTCCGTTGGACCCCTCCCCCTTGCCGTTTCGCCCCTGATCGAGCTAGAGCTTCGCGGAAAAAACGGCCGTGTTGCCCGTGATGAAAGGAAAACGATGATACCCAATTTTAAGGTCCTAGGTCATCGGTTGACCTTCCAGGTCAGGTCAATGACTCAAAAGTCGGGAAAATCGGGACCTGTTAGAGCGTCGTAATGGGTGGCTGCTATGGTTTTTCCGGGGTGCTGATCACGAATATCATGTTAGTTATGATCATAGATGATGTCTTCATGCATTTAGGCCAGGTCAGGTCAGGTCAGGTCAGGTCAACCAGGGGTTTTGCCGCGTATTCGTAGTAGGTGGCAACCGCCTCTGACAGCTTCGTAACATGTTACGAAGGCACCAAAACTACTTCGTAAACGGTCAAATGGTTGCTAAATTCGAATTCAGCTCCAAAAACTAGCCTAGAAACATATAAAACTCGAAAATGTGAGCCCAGGTCACCAAAGGTAAATGACCTGACCTGACCTTCCGGTGACCTTGACACCCACCCTAATGCATGAGAGCAACATCATATCCCATGTTTGAACGTTTGAAACCACGAAAAGACTGCAAACGCGCGGCTAATGCGAGGCGACATACGCCGAATCGCGATCCCGGCCAAACATGGTGCCATGGTGCTAGGCCGCCGGTGCATTTGAAAGCACTGTGGTGCCCCTGACAAGCCTAAAGTTCCAACGACAGGCCCGTGGTGCCCCTGACAGGCCCATGATACCCTTGCGAGGCCGGTGGTGTCCCTGCGAGGCCGGTGGTGCCCCTGCCAGGCATGTGGTGTCCCTGCTAGGCCTCTGGTGCCCCTGACAGGCCTGTGGTGCCCCTGAAAGGACTGTGGTGTCCCTTGGCCCTGACAAGCCTGAGGTGTCCCCGACAGGCCCGTGGTGTCGCTGACAGGTCCATGGTGCCCTTGGCCCTTGCTAGGCCTGTGGTGCCTCTGGCAGGCCTGTGGTGCCCCTGGCGGGCCTGTGGTGGTACCCCTGACAGGCCCAAGGTGGTGCCCCTGCGAGGCCGGTGGGGCCCCTGGCAGGTCTGTGGTGCCACTGGCAGATCTATGGTGCTCTTGCTAGGCCGATGGTGCTCCTGACAGGCCTGTGGTGCCCCTGACAAACTTGTGGCGCCCCCGACAGGCCCGTGGTGCCCCTGACAGGCCCAAGGTCCCTGCGAGGTCGGTGGGGCCCCTGGCAGGTCTGTGGTGCCCCTGGCAGACCTAGGTGCTCTTGCTAGGTCGATGGTGCTCCCAACAGGCCTGTGGTGCCCCTGGCAGGCCTGTGGTGTCCCCAGGCCCCAAGGGGGCGGGGGGTCATGACCCATATGACCCACCCTTGGATCCACCACTGGTCATTACTTGCAGACTGACTCATTTGACATCCATTGCAAAACAAGTCACAGTAGTATGTTTGTCACCCTGTTCCTTTATGCCCATTTTTATAGTGGGCAAATCTCGACGACTGGGGGGGGGCAATGCTATTGAGTGCGGGGGCATTTGCCCCCCCAGTTAACATGTTAAAATAGGCCCTGGGAAAATCACACTGTATGTTATATTGGTATCATGAATCGCATACTTTAAGGGAATATCCCACCTTCTAAAATGTTGTTAAAACCAGTTAAATTGTGCCCAACTTTATAGATTGGATGATCAGGAACACGGTTCTGGCATTTATTTTTCATTAAACATCGAAGGCTTCCCATATTCCAAACACAAACTTTCAAATATGTGACGTCACAGCCCAAAATTACCTCCTTCCCCAGGCCACATTACTGTCATAAAGCTGATTCTTTTTACTCTGTAGGCACCACAAGAAAGTCAAGACCAGGTTTTAAGCGATTTTTCAACGAACAAACCCATTTAAATCAGAATGACTAAACGAGGTGACGTCACACTAACGGTCGCTCCATGTTGAAGATAGGGCCTTGCGCAAGGCCCATTTTCAAATGAAGGGAACAAATTTCTTCAACACCAAGAGGCCGCGGGGGTTGCAACCTAGATAGATAGTGGTTTCTGAACCTTGCCGCAAACTTGGCTATCTCAACTCAAACCCCATGTTAAAGGTGGGATAGTCCCTTTAACAAAAAGTATTTGTGTAAAATGGCAAAATGAAATTCTTAAACCCCTAATTTTCATTGTCGTATTACTTTAATACTTATTATATGGTTTATACCTGTTGCGTCAGTTTTTGTATTCTTGACATTTAAAAATTGTGAATTGTTATCAAATTCAGTGAATGTTAAGTACAACACTATAGGTATCTGTTGAGGTGCTGAGGATACCACTAAATGATAATGATAGCAAGATAAATGCTGTATTCTTGCAAGCCATTTTTGCCTGTTAACATTACCTGTGAATCAAAATAATGAGTAGCTAGTTGAGCATGGAATCAATATTTTGATTATCTGTTCAAAGTGAATCAATTTATTGAATGCCTTTCACTACCCTTTTGAAGTCAGATTACTATGATTAAAACAATATTTTTGTGCTCAGTAGGGAGTTCCAACATTTCTGTTCAACATTAGGCATGTTCCTTCTTAAAACACTGGCTTATTTTAAGACGATTGGTTATTTTGAAGTGGTCTACATTTATACCCAAATATGGCCATGAATAGGTACCTAATCAATTTTTTGATGCTTCCATTTTTTTTATTTCAGAAACCTAGTTTGCCCAACTGAGCTACAAAACTGCCATTCCAGTTCATGTTGAAGGCGTAGGGGGCTGAAAAAAAAATGAAAGGAAGCAAAAAACTCACGAATATTTTCTTTTATCCATGACGAATGACTATGTTCTAGCTGTATTACTACAACACCCCTATACACGGCCTTGACCACAACTGAATCAGACTTCAGAGACACTCTTGTTATTGTATGAGCCGCGTCATATTTGAGAGCAAATATATTTGCTGCCAAATTTCCCCTCACATCGACATGAAGTAAATCCTTCATTACGTCACAGATTCGATATAAATGACGTCACGATGAAATATGAAAGTCGCAATATCTTAAAGGGACCCTCCCACATTAACATTAGATTTGAGTTGAGATAGCCAAAATGGGGTCCCTGGCTCACAATTACCGGTTTCGGCACTTACAGTTACAACATCGAGAAATGCCTAAAGCCTAAGCTACACTAGCATGAATTCCGACTAGTGGTGCCAATTTCATGAAATTTCAATTCCAATTCCGATCCAATTCCAAGAAATTGCCAAGTAAATTTACAATTTTGTCCAAAGCGGGGGCTATTCCAATTTTTAACGATTTTTGCATTTTTTGCGTAAATTTTAAAAGTGTTGAAAAGCGTTTTAAAGGCCTCCGTTTTAAAATTTTAAATTTTAAAGGCCTTGTGTTCCGATTAATTTCCAAAAAATGTTAAGAATTCCGTCCAAATTCCAAATTGGAATTGGACAAAAATTGGAATTCCAAGAAAAGAAATTCCGATTGGCACCAATAATTCCGACGTTTTTTCGGTTTCTGCGGGATTTCGGCTCGCGTCGTCAAGTTCGCCTCATAGCGAATGCATTGCGCAAGCTACACTGCCAGTCTGGCGTCCCGTGGAACGAAAACCCGCAAAAACCGACGAGTCGGAACCGAAAAAAAAGTTCAGAGCTGTGAACTTTTTTCGGTTTCTGCGGGATTTCGTTTTAGTGATGGATGATTAGAAGTGATTGTTGCTAATAATATTGTGACGATGGAACAGTTTCAAATGTAAATAATGAAAATGGTGTAATTCATGATTAAATAAGACAAAATGTGTTTCAAAACTCATCATTCTACATCAACACGGGCGTAGGAACGTCATGAAAAGTGGGTGGGCCACCCTGTCAAGGGGCCTCCTTTTCCAGGGGCCTCCTATTTTCAGGGGCCTCCAACTTTTGCCTCGTCCTGCTGGCTGCTTTCAAGTATGACCTCCAAATCCAGCTTCTGAGATCGGGCAGATGTACCTACCCAGGGGCGTAACCGCTTAAGCGAACAGTGCGGAAAGTCCGCACCATTTTTAAAACTTATTCCCCCTCCGATTTTTTTAGAATCTATTTGCCGCAAACGGCGCATGACCCCTGAAAAACCTTAAGGCCGCCGTCCACTGTGCGGAATGCTTGCGGAATTTAGGTGGGCGCATCCGGTCCGTACGGAAATCGTGTGCGGACCGCATCCATGTTGTGTGGACACATATCGCTGATAATTGGCGTAATTATATTCAAGCCCGACTCGGAAGTCACGTTATGCAAGTCGTGCGTGACCTGAGACCTCCCTCGAGCTAAATTCGAAATCGGGTTATCAATCGACATCCGAAGTGGCTGTCGCGGCTGTCGCAGAGACGAAGTTCCAAAGTACGACGTGTTGAACTTTGTGCGGAGAACGCAGACGGAATGGATGCGGACCAGCGTGACCACTCAACTTTTTCGTATATCCCAAGACGGTCAGCAAAATATCCCAAGATCGGCCCTTTTTACCCCCCAACATCCCAAGCTCTTAGAAATGAATGTTTGAAATGTTTGTTAGAATTTTTATTGTAAGAGTGTTAGAATGTCTCGCTACAGACTGATCTAACTCTGGCCGCTCCATATTTTACGGAGGCTACCAGTCAGCTGGCATCTAAGAGCTATTATTATCTTGAAAAAAGCGTAAATTTATCACCTACGTACGAGGCCGAAGACTGTGCCAGTTCTTAAGAACTCGCAAGAAAAATATAATTCTATTGGCGGAACGTTTTCAGAGTGGTCGGCCCGACCTGACCGTAAGTGACTTTGGAGACGAATCGGTGGGTCGCTGCGGCGACTTATTTCTTCATTTTTTATCTTTCCCCTCGCATGTGTAAGGGGGGGGGGGTCGGATGGACCACTCATGGTTTTTCCCGAATAACTCGCGCAAAAAGCGGCCGATCGCGAAGAAGCTTTCAGTACCCTCGATTTGATCAATTTTACACCTACTCTGAAAATATCATAACCCTGACCTAAATGACCTTTGACCTGTTCTGATTCTCGAGACCATGTTCGGTCGGAATCGCGATTTGGCGTTTGTCAGCTCACATTATCCACGCGTTTCCAGTCTTTTTGTGATTGTAAATGTACAAACAGATGATCGTCCCATGCATCACGGTGGGTGTCAAGGTTACCTGAAGGTCAGGTCAAGATACCTATAAGAAACAGGTAGATCCGATGTTTGAAAGTAAAGCCCCAGTCACAAATTTGACGCACCTGTGACATTTCCTGACACCCACGTGACTATTGTATTAACTTTTGTGTTTTGCGATGTTTTGACCTTATTTAAAGTACTGAAAGATCAAAATGTATGCTTAATGTTGTTTAAAGCAGCATATTAATAATTATGTTTGTAAATTATCGATAAACTGCTTATAGCAGGTCACGTGATTGCTACCAGATTATGTGCTCAGAAAGCATCTTTTCAACTTCGATTTTGAACAATTTTTACCTCCTTTGAGGCCAAATGATGGACGGTTTGAGGCACACGATGAAATGCTGAATCTATTGATGCCAAAATTTGATCGTTTTTTGCATTTTTAGACTAGTATATCCTGGCTCAAACTTTGACCAGTTTGTGTGTAAACCCTATGGTGAAGGGAAAACTTCACGCCCAGCAGGCGTCATTACAGTGCTGCCAAATCGTGTTTGGTGGGGGTCGGGTCAGGTCAGGTTATTGACCTTTGATGACCTCTGCTCACTTTTTCGAGCTTTACATGTTTCTAGGGTAGTGTTCGGGCTGATTTCGAATTTAGCATCCATTTGAACATTTACTAAGTAGTTCTAGTGCATGTTACGACGCCGTCAGTGGTAGTTGACACTTCCTATGGATTAGGGTGGCACTAAAACGGGGCTAAAATTTCGTTTTGAGAATTTTCAACGGGACGGGCAGCCAATCTGTTCTACCACCCGATAAAACGTTGTGTGTAAAATATTTTTGGAAAATATGTTTATTTAGAGGTAGCTCAACCAGGTCAAAGTTCACATTTTCGTGAAAAACACAGCTTTACCGAAATTTTAATTTCCACGTGTATTTCTTATGTTCACAATGACATTGGACGTTGACAAGACTTTATCGAAACGTTTCAGCACCTAAATCTCAGATATACAGGTACATATGAGGTACATAATTCTTTTGAAGGTATGCATAACTTACTGCATAACTCCATGAAAAGAGAAAGCAGTATCATCCGTAATCAGCCAACACTTGTACACATTATTCGTCGGCTAGTCTTGCCTACTTAGAAATTACGATCGCCTTGCGTATGTCAGAATGCTTGCGTCTTTGCTCCTCGACGACCTACATGAGGAGCTGCTGTTAGTCTTTATCCTTCGTGGGGGTCAGATCGATTTCCTGGCCACAACAAAATGCCTCGTTCCGCGAAGTCGTTGAGGCGTGAAGAGACCTCATGTAGCGCATGGCGGCGTTGTAGAATGGTTGACCTCCCAAAGAATCGAATATTTCAAGAGGAAATCGGTGTCCATACCGAGGATGCTGAAGAAGCTTGTGAAGCCAGTTGTGATTGATGAAGTCTTCCGTGGACTTGCTAGACACTGAAGCTATAGTAGAGGTGTACCACCGAGGACAGTGATGGCCAGCTCCAGCTCCAGCTCCAGGTTGTCGCGTGAATGCTGGCGGTCAAGGATATACGACCGAACTGTGCAAGATCATCACGCGGGTTGTGGAGGTGGGACATGTCACAGTTTTTGAAGGTTTATGGCTTCGTTCCATCTAGACGCCCACTTTTTATGGAAACGCTTAAACAAAACAACGTCCAGGCCGCTGGACGGGCCAAAGACACAGGCTGAAAGTGTCTTTGAACAAACTCGTAAATGTCGTGGCAAGTCAGATGGAGCAAGCCCTGCTCGAGCCGCTGCTCGATGATCGTGCAAGCTCCTGCATTGAGGCTGGTGTTCGATGCACTTGTGTCAAAACTGAGCGTTTTCACTCAATCCTTCAACTCTCACTCATCGAGGGATTCTAGAACAGCGTTTGTTGCGGCCTGGCAATTTGAGCCTGGCTAGCGAAAAATGTTCTGAAATGGCTTAGCAAAACACAGCTTATCTTTTTCACGTGCACGTCCTCTCCCTGACATCACGAAGACACGGAGACCTGCCCTGTGGCCGTATGTAGGGGGGCCTCTCTCCTCGTACGCCCTGGGCTCTGTCGGGTTGCTGTGCGGCCTCTCTCCTCATTCGCCCTGGGCTCTGTTGGTGTCATTGTCCTAGTGCGGGTCGGCTCTGTGCGGACTTTGTTCTCTGCCGTCCGCCCTCGGTGAGGAGTGCATTTAGCGAGGCCATTTGAGGCAAGTCAGTCTTTGGCGAACACACAGGCACTGCATCATTGGGTTTCACCGCCACAAAAAAAAACACAGGGGGGCAGTTAAGCGTTTGTTCTGGATCCCTCGGGCATGGTCCATCCCTGAGGATAATAAAAGGGTGCTAGGTGGTCGAACTGATTAACCTAAGCGCAATTGCTCCCGCAGACACTCATCCAGTCTCACACACTTTCACTCATCTGACTCAAACTTGTCCTTATTGCCAAACTGCGACGTCTCGCTTCCCTCCCCCTTTTCCTATCCCTGCAGTCGATCCCACGTCCTAAATTACCTCGGCTCTGGAGTACCCTTGGAACCTTTGAACTTCCACTCTGCCTATCGGAGTTAGTCGAAACACATCAATTAATTCTACACGTTCCGCCTAATGGGCCCTTTCTACTCATCGATGGTCTACATTTGGGATCACAAAGCACGTCTTACTACATATTATCTCGCGTCTTACTGCATCTCCCGACGACTTACGGCGTATAACTCGCGTCTTACAGCGTCCTTGCCCTATAACGACTAAGTGACGACTTACAGCGTATATTTCGCGCCTTATTACGGCTGGCA